TGTGTGTGTGTGTGTGTGTGTGTGTGTGTGTGTGTGTGTGTGTGTGTGTGTGTTCATTTTTGGGAAGTGAGGGCTTTTTCCTGGTCCTCACTTTTTTGCAGGTCTACTGCACTTTACTAGTTAGGTTCAGAGGTTTGGTGTGAATTAAGTTTTGGTTCAGGTTAGGGTTAGGAATAGACCAATAACGGTTAGTTTTAGGGAAAATGTCTGGGTTAGACATAAATACTAGGGCTGCAACGATACAGGAAACTCACGGTTCGGTTCGATACTTTAGTCTCACGGTTGATATTTTTTTGATACAAAAAAAGAGAAATTTCCATACCCCTTTTAACTTGTAATTTATTTATATTAATTATGAACATTTGTTTAACCCCAAAAGTACAGTTTTTAAATTAAATGTTGCTGAAACAGCAAGTTTCTCAGTGGATCTATGCTCAAAAATGCAGCCTAGGTGGAGTAGTCGAACACAGATCCACTGATCCTTCAACACAGAGCATCTTCAGAAGAGAAGCTGATAAAGTAAATTTTTTTAAATCTGTATTGTTCGATACAGCACTGTTCGATACGATTTGGTACGGTTCGATACGGGTACATGTATTGTTGCATCCCTAATAAATACAGTTACAAAAATGAATGGAAGTCAATAAAAAGTCCTCGGTTTGATACATGTACAAGGATGTGAGTGTGTGCATGTTTTTGCTATCTGGTGGGGATGATTTTTGTTCCTTATGGGGACAAAAGCCCGGTCCCCATTAGGGAAATATTGTTGATGGATCAGGGGTTCGATTTAGGACTAATGTGTGAATTAGGTTTAAGCTAGGTTTAGGGTTACATATGTACTGGTAAAGGTTAGGTTTGGGCAAGGGTAAGGGGTTAGGCTGTAAAAATGACCAGTAAATGAGTAGAAATCAATGCAAAGTCCCCAGGTGTATAGAAGAACAAACGTGTGTGTGTGTGTGTGTGTGTGTGTGTGTGTGTGTGTGTGTGTGTGTTCTCTCACCAACAGGACCTCCAGTTTTAATCTTTTTAGTTAGTGAGGCCTCAACTCTAGCTTTGTTTTCAGAAGAAGGGCTTTTTCTCCTGGATGATGGAGTCTGGAAACAAAAAACTGATGAGAGCAGATCTGAACACATGACCTGGTTTCAGAGTAAAACCTGGAATGACAGCAGGGCTTCAGGTTATGTTTCTGAAACACCACCTGCACAACAASTTTCATTGTTTTAAACCTTTTGTTCCATCATAAAAATGCTTTCATTCCTGRCTGTGCATTTTAGCAGGAAACCAGCTTCCATTATCTTACTAYGAAACACTGTTGTAGATTTGAGGAAACATGCACACTTTTCTGAAATCCTTCAGAGTGCACATTTTTAATGGATGCCTCAGGGGGGGKTTCTGCATCGCACGACTGACTGAACTCCAGACTTTTTGAGTGAAAGCGATGTCTGAACACAAAAGAGCCGCTGGGCTTCTGATAATCAGATTCACTGAAAACAATGAGACAGCAGGAGCGAAAGCCGAGTTTGTGCCGGGCCTCTAGCTCTGCACCACTTGTAGAGCCGRCAACATGGTAACAAACCGCGTCACCATCAGATCGTACCGACGTGCCGCTGCTGGAGTTCAGGAGGAAGTTGGCTGTGTGGGCAGCGACWGGGGGCTGGGTGGGGATGGGCCTGTGACCCAGAGCCATGCCCACGATGGCAGTCATGTGGGTCTCTGTGCCAAAGACATGAATTGGGATCCCGGTGGTTTTTCCTGCAGAGGAAGGGTTTCAGAATCAGTGGAGTGTGGCAATCATGATTGAGTCCGACGAAATATATATATATAAAAAAACTGATAAAAACAAAAAACATACCAACTTCTCCCATCACTCGAAGACCTTCCTGGTAGTTGGGGCCACCGCGGCGAACAAAAATAGAGACTTCATGCTCCTTCAAGGGGACCTGGTAGTCTTTGATCGCTCGAACAATCCCCTGAAACACAGATAAAATGTTTTAGTCAGTTAGCTAAGCTGTACCCTTAGCAAAAAGTAGTAAATGCAGGTATACTTTAAGCATACTAATTCTAAACTAAAAAAATAAAACAAATTATACTTCCAGTTTACCTTTTATGTAATTATGAGCTATACTTAACCAAGTTTATCTTACACTATACTTTTCTTGTACTAAAAGTATTTTAAAGTTTAAGTATATTTACTCTATACAAATGTTTWAACTTTTGGCCAAGATGAACTTTACTAGTACACTGAAAGTACATTTTCACACAGACTTTGTTTGTAGTATATTTCAAGATTTAACTAAAAATGTACATAAAAGATTACTTTCCATATACTTCAGAGTATACTTTCATAAACTTATTGTGGGCCAACTCAGTCCTAGAAGTATACTTGCTAGTAAACTGCTAGTATACTTATATTAGTGTACATGGCAAATAAAAGTACACTTAGGGADATACACTTTTATATACTTTAGTATACTTAATGACATGTRCTTAAAGTATAYTTCTTTTTGGTAAGTTTATAAACTTAAAAAGACATRACAATACACTTAAAAGTATACTTTTTATAAACTTAAGTCCCAATTTAGTACAGACAAGTATTTAAATTGTATACTTTCTAGTACACTACAAGTACGTGGTGCCTAGTATACTTGATATACTTAAACTTAAACTCAAGTATACTTATTAAAATGAACTTCAAGTATACTACTTTTCTAAGGGTAGCCATAATTAAGCTAACCTTTTACTATTTGTAGCTGTTAGCAAATGCAGTTTTTCTAGTTAAACTGATACTGATTGGTGGTAGTAGTAGTAGTAGTAGTAGTAGTAGTAGTAGTAATAAATGTAGCACTGTACCTTGAATGTTGCTGCAACATTTGTGAAGTTTGCTATGCTTCCTCCAATTATCAAAACCTTTCCTGGAACAAAATATTACAGATTTTTTAGGTTCAAATAAAAGCTGAATTTAGGTTTTAAAAGCAGGGGCGTGTTTGAGATTTCCCCACCGTCAGGGTGCTTCTCTCTCGTCATCAGGGACAGGATGGTCTTGGCGTAGTCGTAGGTCTGCTGTTCACTCGGTGCGCCTGAATATTCCCCGTAATTGGCCAGCTCGTTGACCCCGCCCAGGTCACAGATCGTGTCACTGTGAGGGTTTTCCCCCAATAAAAATAAAAGAATTAAAACTTTTTTAAAACAAATGGATTTGTTTTTGTTTATTTTTAAATTTCCACTGCACAGCAAACTGATGAAACAAGTTAACGGTGCGTTCTGGGAGTAATTAGTCTCGGATGATTTGTCTGGATGTCACGCTTTGCATCCTCGACAGACGGCACACCACCCAATCCTCCTGACTCCCACTAAAAACAGCAGCATTTAAGCATTTAATTTAGCAAACAGCTGATTGGGCACATGGTCTGCTCTTTCACTCTCCTCGTGCTCCTTATGTTCAGTAGAAACCAGTAAAAATTAGTGTATAATAACAAAGTACATTTGCATTGTTACAGTTGTATTTTGAGGATTTATAACAAGTATTCTTTTAAATCGTAAATTTTACCTTCATTTTGTTACATCTAGAACCTAAAAATTAAACTTTTACTTCTTTACTTTAAAAAGTAATGCCTCGTTGCAAGCTACAAATTTAAATATGACAGGAGCAAATCGTAAGGAATTGTTTATGCTCTAAAAAAATTTATGTTGAATTTACTTTTTAAAATTTCATTTATTAATTAAAAAACAAAACAAATTCTATGTATAACAAATAATAAAAAAAATCACAAATAAAATGAAAGGCAGCAGAAAGAAGAAAAAACTTAATCAAGTTATGTCAACTGGTTCCAAATGTAAYGCAATTTAAACTACTCAACAGGGATGCACAATATATTGAAAATTTATCGTCATCATGATAACATCCTGTGCAATATACACGTCGACTCAAAAGCAGTTATGCGTTTTGTCACTGAGACGGAAGCTTCAAGTATTTCACCAATCAAATGGAGCCTTTCATGTATTTGGCCAATTGGATGGATCTCTTCATACTTTAAAAAATAATTAGTTTATTTTTGCTCTGAACCCAGAACAGAAAGACACCACTGTATTTATTTATCGCAAGTCATTATCGTTAGCGCATTATTAAGCACAGTTATCACACATCACAGGTTTTCCTAATATCGTGCAGCCACCCCACCCACCACGCGCCCCATGCAATTTACTTACCTTAGTTAATGAAACCAGCTTGGTTTTCTAATCAGTGAAACAAATTTTTACCAAAGTCAWTTCCTATTAAGATATTTTCTCTGATAGAATCTTACAATGAAGCCAAACAGCCTAAAATATAAAAAGTTCATGAATTATGCCAATTTATTCTGTTTTCTCTGGTTAGAATGGAATAGAAAACAGCCTTTATCGTGGGGAAATTCAGGTGTTGTTTTTTAAATGATAATAATAATAATAACAATAACGATGACGATTATTATTATTATTATTATTATTATGATGCTATGTTGGGGTACCTGTACACCACTGAGGCCCCTCCTCCGGCCACCATGGTCCAGATTCTGCCTCGAGGATTGAGCAGAGTCAGTTTGAGGCTGGCACCACTCTTTGCATCGAGGTCGGCGATGTAGGCCTCCTGGAAAACAGAAACGAACAGAATCGGATGCAGGTGGGTGTAATTGTTTGGACCAAAACAAGCATCAGTGGAAATGTTGACAGGTGATGAGACACACACACATCGCTGGTTGTTTGTGACAGTCTGAGCCACAGCTG